TATAATATCAGTTCACTCGACCATTCACTGTTGTATACTAATTAACAGTGCTGTTCCTAAAGTGGCACTGGGAAACAGTAACAAAGCCTACACAGAACACGAGGCTAATAACCGTAGCAGTTGATGCCGATGACAAAAAAAAATAGCTCAGTTTTTAAGGTTATATTATTTCAATTTTAAAAATTAAATTATTGCATTTGACTAAATCTAATTAAAATATCGAATTCTAACATTAAAATACAATAATAATTAATATTATGATTTTGTGTTGTAATTCTAACAGGTACCTTTTGTTCTCGCAGTTACAGACCATAAAAAAAAGAAGAAGATCTATTTTGTAATAAAATACCTACGGCATTGGCTCACATCTAGGGATTTTTACTTTTATTTTCACCAATCGCTGTCATGACGATTTGGTCACGTGGGTTTTCGGTATTGTTGAAGACCCAGTAGAATCTTCTAAATATGTTCGTTTGTTGACTGACAACTGGCATATAGGTTAAGCATTGTTATTAATCACAAAATCGCCTTCTAGATCAAATAAATCTAACCCAACTATTAGCCGAATCCATTAACGAGCGGTTACAAACGAACGGCATATAAATCAATCTGTCTTCCTTATATTATTTTTGTTGCAATTCATGTTGTAATAATCCCGCTTTGTTACCATGACTGCAATTTGCTTTCACATAGCCGAAGGCGCGAAATGAACTTGAAAATTTACCAGGTGTTAATTTTATTTACGCTCTAGCAATGGTAACCAAACAAAAAGAGCAACAAAACTGTCAATTAAATGAAACAAAGACTCTCCAGCCATTGTTAATGTTTTGTATTCATAGACTTCGTAAATACCTGGAGTTCATTAGATAAAGTAGGTATGAAAATAATAGTTATCGGCCAATTATACGAATAGGAATATTTTAACTGCTCGTAGTCGAGTAGAATAGTAATTTAACAGTAAGCATATCAAATTATAGGGTGTAAATATTAAAAAATTACGTTATATTTTTTTATTAAGAGTTATTGCTGCGTTCATGAGAACTAAATAGTCGACATAGTCTTCCTATTATACCCCTACTATGTCTATTTTTATGTATGAGAGAGTAATAAAACAGCATTTCTAATGCAAAACTTAGTACGGTCATTTTAAATATTTTTACAGAATAATCTATATATTTCCTAAAATTGTAATAAATAAACCTGAGCTATTACAAGTTTTGGGTCTTTTATTGGTCCTTTATAAACATAAGCTGTACAAAACAATAGAAAAAGGTTTGGACAGGCCAAAAGCCCTGTGTATTAAAGATTACATAGCCGTATCTTAAGATTATTTTCAATAAGTACCCATTTGCCAATTTTGTTTTATTTTAATTCCAAGAATTTCTTACAGTAATCGAATTATAAGTAGATAAATATCTTCCCAACAAATTTTACCGAAAATGCGATTATAGGTTTTCCATTTAGTAAGGAGGTCCAAGTTGTGTATTCTTGACAGTTTACTAAATGTCGTTTAGTTGCAACTTGCAAGGTGCAGTGTGAATTCTAGTGTGATCATGGAAAATTTGGAAGGGCCGCGTAAACGACAAAAAATCGGTGAGTTTCAAACAGCACGTAAAGCTCCAGGAAAACCAAAATTTCAATTAGAAAATCTTTTAAAAGAAAGACTTCGAAGGAAAGTGCATGCGTTCTTCTTTAGAAAAAAATTTCCGACAGTAAACAAAGTTCTTGCCACAGTTCGAGATAATAAGGATTACCCTGAAATGAGTCGAAGCACACTATGGAAACTTTTAAAAGAAATAGGTTTTCTATGGAAAAAGCATTCCAGAAAGTCTATTTTAATAGAAAGAAGCGATATTGTAGTATGGCGAAGAAATTACCTAAGGACTATAAAAGAAATGAGAAACCAAAGAAGAAATATATTTTATTTAGATGAAACATGGATCAACGAGGGACATAAACCAAATAAATTTTGGCAAGATAAAACTGTTACAAGTCGAAGACAGGCTTTTTTAAATAATTTATCTACTGGTTTAAATCCACCATCAGGAAAGGGACGCAGACTAATAATAGTACACATCGGTAGTTCAAACGGTTTTGTTAAAGGTGGTTTATTGACTTTTAAATCTACTCGTACCGGTGACTACCATGAGGACATGAATGCTGATGTCTTTAAAGAGTGGTTCGAACAAATTATAGATCTTCTTCCTCAGAACTGTATAATAGTAATGGATAATGCAAGTTATCACTCGAGACTTATAGAAAAAATGCCTACAACCAAGTGGTTAAAAAAAGAATTCAAAGAATATTAAGTTCCATCCCGGTTCTGTGAGAAAAGAACTGTATCATTTGTGTTCCCTTCATAAAGAGAAATTCAAAAAATATGAAATTGATGAAATTGCAAAAAATAAAATGTTTGGAACATACTGTATAATGAATTGCGACGTGCTCTTCGAGCACGTCGTTAACGACGATATGTACTCAGACCTTATTTTGAATTTTTGCAGAAAAATAGTTAAGTTTTTGTTTTCTTACGATATTTACATCTATATAAAATATTGTGTAGGGATTTGATAACATCCTGTAGGTATAAGTACATTTTTATGCTATGTAATACACATATCTTTAATGTTTTTATCACCAAAAAGGAACTGATGCCATAATGGTAGTGACTACATTTACATAGAATTTGGAGCCTTGTGCTAAATGATTAAAGATTTGCAAGAATTTAAAATGAACTATTAATTATACTTTACAAATTTGATCAATAATTATTACCTACATATTTTTGTTTACACATATGAATCAAAAATATATTTCTTGGTAAAATACCAGTATAATGATACGATTGTGTTTACAGTGGTTAGTGTTTGAATTTGAATCATTGTTGACAACTTTCGGGTAAGAATCGATTTGATATCATAATCAGACTGTTTATAAAAGGAAAAAGTTTATTTTAGTGTTTCTAAAATTATTTCGCGTGAATCATTATTATTAATTGGGAGTATCATTATTAGTTCTTAAAATTTGTAAGAGTAAGAGCTCAGTACTATAGAAATTCATAAACATTCATATAAATTCGTAGAAATTCGTAGAAATTCGTAGAAATTCGTAGAAATTCGTAGAAATTCGTAGAAATTCATAGAAATTCATAGAAATTCATAGAAATTCATAGAAATTCATAGAAATTCATAGAAATTCATAGAAATTCATAGAAATTCATAGAAATTCATAGAAATTCATAGAAATTCATAGAAATTCATAGAAATTCATAGAAATTCATAGAAATTCATAGAAATTCATAGAAACTCATAGAAATTCATAGAAATTCATAGAAATTCATAGAAATTCATAGAAATTCATAGAAATTCATAGAAATTCATAGAAATTCATAGAAATTCATAGAAATTCATAGAAATTCATAGAAATTCATAGAAATTCATAGAAATTCATAGAAATTCATAGAAATTCATAGAAATTCATAGAAATTCATAGAAATTCATAGAAATTCATAGAAATTCATAGAAATTCATAGAAATTCATAGAAATTCATAGAAATTCATAGAAATTCATAGAAATTCATAGAAATTCATAGAAATTCATAGAAATTCATAGAAATTCATAGAAATTCATAGAAATTCATAGAAATTCATAGAAATTCATAGAAATTCATAGAAATTCATAGAAATTCATAGAAATTCATAGAAATTCATAGAAATTCATAGAAATTCATAGAAATTCATAGAAATTCATAGAAATTCATATAAATTCGTAGAAATTCGTAGAAATTCGTAGAAATTCGTAGAAATTCGTAGAAATTCGTAGAAATTCGTAGAAATTCGTAGAAATTCGTAGAAATTCGTAGAAATTCGTAGAAATTCGTAGAAATTCGTAGAAATTCGTAGAAATTCATAGAAATTCATAGAAATTCATAGAAATTCATAGAAATTCATAGAAATTCATAGAAATTCATAGAAATTCATAGAAATTCATAGAAATTCATAGAAATTCATAGAAATTCATAGAAATTCATAGAAATTCATAGAAATTCATAGAAATTCATAGAAATTCATAGAAATTCATAGAAATTCATAGAAATTCATAGAAATTCATAGAAATTCATAGAAATTCATAGAAATTCATAGAAATTCATAGAAATTCATAGAAATTCATAGAAATTCATAGAAATTCATAGAAATTCATAGAAATTCATAGAAATTCATAGAAATTCATAGAAATTCATAGAAATTCATAGAAATTCATAGAAATTCATAGAAATTCATAGAAATTCATAGAAAATCATAGAAATTCATAGAAATTCATAGAAATTCATAGAAATTCATAGAAATTCATAGAAATTCATAGAAATTAATAGAAATTCATAGAAAATTCATAGAAATTCATATAAATTCATAGAAAATTCATAGAAATTCATAGAAATTCATAGACATTCATAGAAATTCATAGATATTCATAGAAATTCATGGAATTTCATAGAAATTTGATACAAAAATTTGTTTACAAATTTGATACAAACTTGATACAAATTTGATACAAATTTGATACAAATTTGATACAAAAATTTGATACAAATTTGATACAAATTTGATACAAATTTTGATACAAATTTGATACAAATTTGATACAATATTTGATACAAATTTGATACAAAATTTGATACAAATTTGATACAAAATTTGATAACAAATTTGAATACAAATTTGATACAAATTTGATACAAATTTGATACAAATTTGATACAAATTTGATACAAATTTGATACAAATTTGATTACAAATTTGATACAAATTTGATACAAATTTGATACAAATTTGATACAAATTTGATACAAATTTGATACAAATTTATTACAAATTTGATACAAATTTATTACAAATTTGATACAAATTTGATAGGAAATTCATAAAAATTCATAAACCGTAAGTAGTTTAACCAAAATTACCTTACAAAGGACTAGGAGATAAAAATTAAGTGAAACTTACCAAAACCCCGTGCGTGGTATGTTCACTATCCAGCTTGCCGTCCACACAAAAATGACACTTGGTTGGCGGCGTTCCAGTCTTTCAATCTGTCTAAGTCGTTTTCGTTTTCCTTCTGGTGCTCCTCCCTTTCTTGTTCTTTTACTTTGTCTCCTTCTATCCCGTTCGCCACTTCCTGCTTGCCTCCTGTAATAATAAGCTACACTTTAATGCGTTTGTTAATGGCTGTTTTTCAAGAATATCAAAAAGAGTTCTTATTGTAATGAGAGACTTCTTCGAGAAGTACGGTTAATGTTTAATTCCCTAAAAAAAAATTAAAAAATAAGTTAACTACCCTGAAACCAACCCTAATGGAACGACTATGGAAATATTGCGACGCTAGCTACTGTCTATCATCAGTCTGAAATACACTAGAATATAGTAGAATGCAACTTTTGAGGAAATTGTGATATTGTAGTAGATTTTGGTGGAAACATCATGGGCCTTCACCATTTTATATACCTAAATAGGTTCTATTGTAGTTTAAGTTACTCAGTTGAATAGGAGAAATATGTGAGCATATCGTAAATGTCCACATACACGTAAATATCTATACTTATTAGTGTTAAGTTATTTATTTTGTTTCTTTGTTGCTATTATGGTGAGGTGGTGGGTGAGGTTTTCCGGGTTTTCCTCACCTGTAAGTCAAATGGCACCATCAATCATCTTTAAGTCGCCCCGGAGCGCCACGGCAAATAATAGCCGTCCCTTTCCCCGGACAAGCTCAGCTTTTGGGGTTAAAATTCACTCGTAAGGGGGTGAATTAGGGAGAGTATTATTATTATTATAAGCTGACCCTGATGGGGTATAATGGAGTCATAGCTATCTAATATTTTGGTGGTGGTGTCAGCAACTTCACTGTGTAAATTTTTGTCAAAGATTAGGCCAAAAATGTTTGGAAAAATGATAAGATTGTAAGTCAAACTATTGTTGATGTTAATAGAGGAAGTAATTTAATACTTTTCACATCTGAAAATCAGGAAATGTGATTTTTTCCTGTGTGGCAAATTAGGTCTAAAAAATATGTTTATTATTTTTTCTATTAAAATTTGTGTACTAAAACCTGAATTACTCCTCAATATTAAATGCCTTTACCAATTTTTGATCTAGTATTCCTTAATTTCTAGGAGAGCCACAGAAGAGAAAACGATCTTCTAGTGCAAAATTTCGAGAGCAAAAAAAGTTAGAGTCCAGGAAAGGGAGAAGATGCAGTATGAAACAAGTTTTCACTGAAACGATAGAGGAAGGTGAAATTACAGTTTCTGAAGCGGCGGCACCACCGTCTTCTGCAAAATGTGAACCATCAACATCATCATCACTTATCGAAAATATATTCTCTATAGAGTCGACCATTCCAACAAAGAGTGCTACAAGTGACGTTTCTAACGATGACGTTTCTACTGAAGCGGTGCCTTAGAATACTAGTATTCTTATATCAGAGAATCCAGGTTTATGGCCCAGAAACATTACCAACGAAGAAGTCAGAATATTGGTTGAGCGTGGTCCTCCTTTGATAGGAAACAGTTATCAATTTCCAGCTAATAAAGACAAAGACAAAAGAAAATTTTCAAGTAAGTACTTTGTCAGAAAACTAGGAAATGGAGAAGAAGCAAATAGAAATTGGCTCATTTACTCAGTTTCGAAAAAATCGATATTTTGATTTTGTTGTAACACTTTCAGTAAGACTTTCAATAGTTTTTCTGATACTGATGGTTTTTCTGATTAGCAACATGTGTCCTTAGCCATAAAAATACATGAAACATCAATTGTACATAATGTTCACACGAATACATGGATGAATTTAAAAAAAATATTAAAATTATCCACAACCGTAAACGATCATCACTTACGGGTTTTAGAAACTTTTTGAATTTGAGAGAGCACATTAGTCGAGTGCAAAACTCACAAATAAATTCTTTAAAAATGGCCCATTATTTAGACCAGTGGTCGCCAACCTGTCGATCGCGAGCTACCGGTAACTCGCGGAGGCAGGTAGCTCTCACAACGATTTTAATTTAAAAAATACAAACTGCAAAAACAGAGAAGCTTCCGAAAATTCCACAAAAATATCTAATTGTCATAATATTAAACATAAACAGCGGCAACGCTGCGGTGAGCGATCTGCCGCTGACGCCATCAAGCTAGAATCGGCTAGAACCGACCAGCCGGACCATCGCGTTAGTGTTCGAGAACGATCAGAATTGCTTTGAACGGGATAAATACGCACGGCGCGGCGACAATGCGCTTAGTTTAAAACTGAACGCGTAACCAACGTCCAGCGGTTGAATTAGTAGATAACAACAAAAAATAATATTATGGCAAGCAGTTGTAAGAAGGTAAAGACATACAACTTTCATTCGGAATGGGAAGAACAATACTTTTTTACAGAAGTTAAAGATAAAAATGTGTGTTTTTATGTAATACTTCAGTCTCCGTTGCTAAAAAAGGAAATATTGAGAGACATCATAAAACTGTACATTCTTAGAAGCTGCTGATTCGTTATTTGCCAACTTTAGAAATAAAGACGAGATAGTTTCAGCTATAAAATCTATGCAACTTTCTGCTAATACAGTGATGAGACGTGTAGAAGTAATGAGCAATGATATTTTTTTTACAGTTAAGAACTGACTTAGATAACTGTGTTTATTTTTCACTTCAACTGGATGAATCAACAGATGTCGTTGACACTGCCCAGATGGCTGTGTTCGTCAGGATGGTTTTTAGTGATTTTACGATTAAAGAAAATCTTTTGAAGTTTATTCCACTGAAAGGACACACTACTGGAAAGGAGTTGTTTTCTCATTTAAAAAATATTATTTCTTCCGAGAAAATTCCAATATCGAAAATGGTTGGCTTGACAACCGATGGCGCTCCAGCTATGGTGGGTTGTGATAAGGGTCTGGTGACGGTATGTCGTAAAGATGAAACTTTTCCGCAATTTATCTGTCACCACTGCATTATCCATCAGCAAGTATTATGTGGAAATTTCCTGAAACTAAACAACGTTATGAAACTGGTGGTAAAAATTGTGAACAAGATTAGAGCTCAAGCGTTACAAAGAAGATTATTCAAAACCTTGAAAACCGATTAAGTTGACTGTCAATACGGGGACCTACTCCTTCACTCTGAAGTCCGATGGTTAAGTAGAGGACGGGTGCTGAAACGTTTTAATGATGTCCTATCTGGCATAGTTCAATTTTTCAAACAACGCGATGAACCGACTCCGGAACTAGAAAATTCAATCTGGCTTAGAGATTTTGGTTTTCTCGTGGACATTACAGAGAAATTAAACGAACTTAATTTGCAGCTTCAGGGGAGAGACAAAGAACTAGCGGAAATGATTTCTGATATAAAAGCATTTATCAAAAAGCTGGAGTTTTGGGAACAAAACCTAATTAACAGCGATGCCAAGCTTTTTCCTATTCTTTCAGAAAAAATATCTCAAAATCCATTAGAACCCTATGACAGCAAATATCATGTAGAAATAGTTTCTACCCTGAAGAATAACTTCAAAAATCGTTTTAAGGATTTCAACGAAATGGCTTTAGTAGCGCAGTTTGTTGTTTCACCCTTTATGGAAATTGATATCCAACAATTTGCAACTTGTGTTATGCAGAACTTTGGCGAAGACATCGCTGCAACAGAAATGGAAGTAATTGAGTTTCAAAATGATTTACCCTTAAAATCGTTAGTCTCAAGTACCAAATGTTTCTGGCCTATTGTAAGTAAAGACAAATATTCAGTTCTATGCCGTGTTGCCTTGAAAGTGAAAGCATTATTCAGTTCAACCTATTTGTGTGAATCTTCTTTTTCCAATATGAAGTTTATTAAGAACAAATATGGCAATCGACTTACAGATGAACATTTGGATAATTGTATTCGAATGGCTGTATCAAATTATACTGCAAACATTAAAAAAATTATACATGAGTCTGAGTGTCAGCCTTCTCATTGAACGTGCTTTTTTATTTTTCAATGTTTATGTTCATGGTAGTGCGTTACTTTTTTGTTGTTATTATGAACTATTTTTAAATCTTACGTGACATGCCGTTGTGGCTGGATAAAAGTTTGTGTTTATTTTTCAAACACCTTCGTTTGGTAGGTAGGAATGTAGCTATGAACAAGTACGTACTAGTAATATTAGTTATTTTGTTATTAGTTTATTATTAGTACCTATGTATTATGTATTACCAGTTAAATAGTAACATAAATACATATAATAATAAATTAACTGTGGATTATTTCATTTACGTTGCGTTACGTGGCTTCCGTATGGGTACCTCGCTGTTTATTCCAAAATTAACAAAGTAGCTCAACACATTGAGAGGTTGGCGATCACTGATTTAGAAGATAGGCAATAAATAAGTTCGAAATAATTAATATGTATTACCTCCTAGTTTCGATTCGCCCTTGTCCAAATCGGAGTCCGTGTCTGTCGTTTGCGCTTGCAGGCGGTTGGACTTGATTTCTTTTTGGTGATACTGGTCTGTATCGATTTCGTTTGTTCTTTTTATATTGTTGTTCAGTGGTTGCAAATAACTTCTCGACATAGATTCTTGGTATAGTTTCCATTTCCTTCGACCCATCAACTCCTCAGCGATGCGTTCCAACCCTGTAACCAAAGAAATATTTTTTAACATTTTTATATTAAGTAAATAACTGAAATTTTGTTGTCATTTAATCCCAACTTGCTAATTGTTTGTTTGATTAATTTATCATTATCTGACGTTATTGTTGTATATGTTGTTATATGTCTTAAGCTAATTCTTTCTTTTATTGTCGTCAAAGATTCTTTCTTTAGTAACCACGATTTATAAGAAAAATCAAAATCAAATGTAGTGTTACAATTGTTGTTAAACAAATATAGGTAATTTATTTTGGTGCCAGAAAGTTTTAAGTAAAAACCTGCTCTATGTAGGATGGGACGTAACAATGAACGCTGCGAAGGTGTGTTCGTGAACGAACACTTTAATTGGGTCAATAGGTGGGATGAAGGAACTCTTCAAACTTTTCGTCTCTACGCGATATTACTTTTTAGTAGCTGAATGTTAGTAGCTACTTAACGGGTCACGTCACCACGTTCGGTTACAAGGTGGACGATATATTTATTATTAGGATAATTATTAAAATTTTAATTACTATACTGGTTGATATAATATTTGTTTTTAAACTGAGAGGAGCGATTTGAATTTAAATTGGCAATTCTGTAGACTTCTGATTGGTCAGTTTGCAGTCAGTTTCATACATTACTTTTTAGCTGATTGTTATTGTTGATAGTTCTGACATTTTATATTTTAAGTTTTGTTAACGAAATAAAATAAAAAACTAAGTAATATTGATGAGGTATAGAGGCAACAGTTCTTTTCAGAACTAAAGTTAAGCAGTTGTATTGAATGTCTACCATTACGGATCCTTCTACATCGAATACTATTATAGCAATTCCTCCCAGAGTTCACCAAAACAACGAAAACGAATGAGCTTGGGCCATTTAAGCGTCTCAAAAAAGCAGTAAATAATAAATATATACAAATAGGCATTGGATAATAAACCAAAAACCAAAATTGTTGATGTTATAGGTATTCACAATTTCTCAAGCCACTAGTTAGTTTTAATTATTAGTTTCAAATTAGAAATAATATTTTTCTTACAGGTATTGCAAAGTCAACAACTTACCGAGTATTGAAATAATACGGCAATAATGAAACAATATCTAGTCTAAAAAGTATTGATGGAAGACCAGCACTTCTAAAAACATTTGATAAGAGGTTCTAAATGCTATTCGAAGATTAGTACTTACATGATTTCTTTTTCAAAAATTATCTAGATTGAATAAAATTTTGCAACGATTGAAACATTAAGATTTACCACATATATTAGTCATATTTATATACTTTCTTGGGACATAATAACTTTAAGTAGGTTTGCAACTTTGAACAGTTAAATGTACTGTTTATTTATTATGTATTGTTAGAAGTTAAAAGAATTAACTTCAAAATTATTGTTTTAAAATGATTTAGCACCCTGTATACTATAACACCCTGTATAGCCACTTCATAAAACACGTGTTAACATGGTTTAATAACGTTTTATTAAATATCTCGTAACAATGTTTGAAATGTAATTAATTAAGGAACAAAATAAAGAATGTCTTTAAAGGGCATAAGGCCTATCACTTCATCGCGTTCGGCTGGTCGAAAGTCCAGTCCCCGCTCTCGGCGCTCACTCCTGGTCCCGGGCATTGAAACGGGTAGACGTGGTATTGTCGACCCCAGTGGCGGCGATATCCTAATTCGCTGACTCTAACACGGCCAGACTGACGGGTGTTTCGTTCTCGAAACATGTATCCATTTCCACTCTGGTGTGTTAATTTTCTGAGGAAAAAGGTTAAACGTGACCTACCTGTCTAGGTCCAATATATACTTTCATGACCCCAAGCTTCAAGATATTGTAATCTTAAAAAACAAATCATAAATAAAATATTTCATGGGAATACCCCACCTTTTAATTTGTAATGTTCAAAAATAATTCATAAATAAAATAATCCATGCGGGAGTATGATAACCCCATTCTTCAATTTGTAATCCTGAAAAACAATAAATATTTTATGAAAGTATGCTGACCCCATCTTTCAATTCGTAATCCTAAAAAGAATTCATAAATAAAACATTTCATGTGAGTACCCCATCTTTCAAGTTGTAATCTTAAAAAATAATTCATAAATAAAATAATCCATGCGGGAGTATGCTGACCCCATTCTTGAATTTGTAATCCTAAAAAAACAATTCATAAAAATTTCATGTGAGTATGCTGACTCCATCTTTCAATTTGTAATTCTAAAAACAATTCATAAAAATTTCATGGGAGTATGCTAACCCCATCTTTCAAGGAATATTATTCGCCCTTGAAACAAAACATAGGAGTATGCTAACCCCATCTTTCAAGGCATATTATTCGCCCTTGAGACAAAGAGAGAGAGAGAGATATGCTTTATTGTCGTAAAAAAATTTACAAAAATTTTATAGACAAAGCGTGTAACTTAAATACTAAACATATTATAAAAATAACTAAACAGCAGAAAAAACAAACAGAAACAAACAGATAAAATAGGAATAACAATTGCAATGGATATGCAATATCCGTCATTATAATTATTCTAATTTAATTTTTAAATTTAAATTTAAACTTTAATATTTAATTATTTAATTAATGCCATTGTATGTGGAACTCAAATGTCTAAGGTACGTTATAAAATTCTGCTACTGTGTAATATGGTATTTCTAGAAGAAAAGCTTTAGCCAGTCTTCGGAACTTATCGTATGTATTTATAGATTTTAATTGCATCGGAAGGTTATTATACAATTTTTTGGCATTGTAGGTAATGGAATGTTTTAATAGGTCAGAAGTGGGCATTGTTAAATAAACATCAGTCTCTAAATTTCTTGTAGGATATCTACGAGTCGGTCTTTCGGATAAATTTTGAATGTGCTTGCGAACTAAGCAGACGGATTCGAAAATAAATAGAGCAGGAAGGGTTAGAATATTGAAATTTTTGAAGTAATTTTCGCAATGTGTCCTACTACTTAAACCAAATACATAGCGGATTGCTCTTTTTTGCAGTTTAAAAATAGATTCGAAAAGGTATAAGCTACAAGAACCCCAGAAAGGTAAACCATAGCGAAGGTGAGATTCGAATAAGGAAAAGTAGGTTATTAATGCAGTAGAAGGAGTCAGCTCTTTAGAAACCGATTTAATGGCAAAACATGCGGAGGATAATTTTTTTGCTAAGGTATCTATATGAGCAGACCATTTTAGAGAATCGTCTATATAAAGACCTAAAAACTTGATTGAAGTCACCGTTTGGATCAGATTATTGTTTAAAGTTATAGGTTGTAAAGTACCTCTGTAAGACAATGCTACAGTTTTACTGGTGTTGAAACAAAGTCCATTCGAATCAGACCAGGACTTAATAGTCACTAGATCTTCACTTATGATAGATTGTAATGTCTGCATGTTAGAATTAAGGTTACACTGGTGTCATCAGCAAATAAAGTAATTCTACCACTTATTCTTAAGTCTGTGATGTCGTTGATGAATAATAAAAACAAAATTGGACCTAATACTGATCCTTGAGGTACTCCACTGCTTATTGCTAGATTTGTAGAATCCTCACCATTCGCCCGCACCTGTTGATTTCTATTTTCTAGGTAAGTTTTAAACCATTGTAAAGGAGAACCCCGTATGCCATAAATTTGTAACTTATTAATTAAAATATCATGATTTACACAATCGAAGGCCTTTGCGAAGTCACAAAATACTGAAGCGGTGAAAAGTTTATCATTAAGTGATGTGTATATTTCATTAAGAACGGAAAACATTGCGTCGCTAGTGCATTTTTTAGGTAGAAAGCCATACTGATGAGCTGTGAGGATGTTATGCTTGAAAAGAAAGGGCAAAAGACGGTTTTTCATTAGCCGTTCTACTATCTTCGATAAGGTAGGCAATAACGCGATAGGTCTATAGTTACAGGTTTTGGTTTTGTCGCCACCTTTATGAAGTGGGATTATTATAGCTGTTTTTAGACAGTTAGGAAAGAGACCAATTTCAAAGGCCATCAATTCCACAGGAAAATTTATTTTGGATGTTGTTTATGGTTTGCACTAGTTCATGCTTATCTACTGGTCTTAGGAAGAAACTTTCAGTGATCCTTTTAGTAGGTAGGAGAGAGCATCCTGACTCGGAGCTATGTTAGATTTGATATTTTTACTTACATTTACGAAATAATTGTTTAGTTCATCTGGGCTAGGATTTACCCTGTTTGAAGAACGGGTTTTATTCCTTAAGTCATTTATTATAGACCAGGTTTCTTTGGAGGAGTTTTTAGCTCTTGCGATGCGATTATTGTAATAGTTTTTCTTAGCAGATTTGGTGATTTTCCGATACAATATTCTGTAGTTGTTGATATAGTTTAATATTAGGGGATTATCTGTGTACTTTTTAATATACATGAGTGACCTCATATTTTTAGATGGGAGTATGCTGACCCCACCTTTCAAGGCTTATTATTTGTCCTTAATACATACAGTATAACATTAAAGATGGGTGTATGCTGACCCCACCTTTCAAGGCTTATTATTCGTCCTTAATACATGAACTATAACATTAAAGATAAGTGTATGCTGACCCCACTTTTTAATGCTTTTTACTTCATCCGTGCATGACATTTGCCAACGACTATCAAAAATAATGAATATGGAGATTTCGACGTCTTCGTATAAGGAAAATATAACAACTATGAATCTGGATTTCATACGGCATAATATGAATCGCAATCGATTGAACACCAACAAGTCAGCTACACCAAAAGACATACATGATGTCCAAGAAGCTCTGAATGTTATGGATTTAACAACAGATAGAAACGAACCATTTTTATTGGCCAATGATATTGAAACTAATATTACAATTTTTGGTTGTACATCTAATATGAAATGTTTATCGCAGTGTGACACAATTTACAGGGATGGAACATTTAAATATTGTACAAAATTATTTTTTCAACTATTTGCTATTCATGGGTTGCGCAATG